GTGACTTTTTTCGCAAGCTCTCGGACAAGCACTGAGCATACAGCGTTTATTAATATATACGTTGGGCAAGGGCAAAACCCGTTAAATAAATTAACCTCAGGACACATAAGACTTCCTTAGTGAATCTCTCCAGAACGGTGGAAAGGACAGCGTTAACGCACAATTATCGTGATGGTACCATAGGGAAATAGGCCATTCAAAAAGGAGTAAGTACTTAGGCAATCACTTCCACATGCAAAAGCCTGCCACACTCTGGCAACCAAGGTTACAATGTGTTCAGGGTACAGACTTTCTGGAGGCATAATCAATGATTAGTATCAACTTTAACTCTCCCAGATTCTTCAAATCCTCAGAACACCAGAAAGATTTACAGGACAGAGAGCGATTGAGCCAATAGAGACTATTACTTTACATTGGCCTGGAACGTAAGAGAAAAGTTTTATGACTGAGCCAAGATCTGGAAGACACAGGAATGTTCCCAGCAAAAATGTGTCAGTTGGCACGAGTTTTGCTCCAGGACACCTGGCAGAAGGAGAAATTTTGCGGAGGGGGCATGCGGTGAGTACAATACAAACCTTCTTGGGCAACATGTAGACCCCCAAGGGGTACTGGTCAGTCTTGGCCCACAGCTCAATCTGAGCCAACACCTGGTTGGTGAACGAGTTGGACATGACGAAGCTGGGATGGCCCATGGCGCAGCCAAGGTTGACTAGACGGCCTTCGGCCAGGACAATCAGATGATGGCCGTTGGATAGAGTGAAGCGGTCAACCTGTGATGAGCAAACAATCAGGTTCAAGTCTGTTGACAGCTGCGAAGTTGGATGTAGCTTTGACAAAATTTGGCACACAGCCAAGCTAAGAGATTAGCGGTACGGTGTAATCACATCCTCTTACAGAATGAAGAAAAGGGCTTAATAACACAACCTAACACCATACTGTCCCTTAATGATTGTCTCTTACCCAGTTCCCGGTTCAAACTAGATTGGCAAAGCTTCTTTCCTATGCTTAGTTGGTATGTGGACTGACCTCCAATGGTCAAGTAGCCAAACTAGACTGACCTGGGGCTTGATGTTCTCTTTGGTAGCATTATCCTCCAGCCACTTGAGGTCCAGCTCACAGTCAAAGTGACCGATGTTGCAGATGATGGCATTCTCCTTCATCTTCAGGAAGTGCTCTTTGGTGATGATGTTTGCACAGCCCGTTGCCGTGACGAAGATGTTGGCCCTTGCACAAGCATCCTCCATGGTGGTGACTTCATAGCCTGAAATCCACAACAAAGAGCAGTTTTTCATACAGGTGACCGGATCTTGCAAAATGAGTCATAAGTTAATTTTTTTGGTAATTTTATTTTAGTCTACACTAAAAAGAGCAAACTGAGCTTTTTGTTTTACTATAAATAATCAAATACTTAAATAATTAATATCACTCAAGTTGGCATCCTGACCCCGCCCCCTTATTTTACAAGTGTGTATACATTTCAACCCACCTTCCATAGCTGCCTGCAGGGCAATGATGGGATCAATCTCAGTGATCAAGACCCGAGCACCAAACGCCCTGAGCGACTGGGCACTCCCTTTGCCGACATCACCGTACCCAGCCACTACGCACACTTTGCCGGCAAGCATGATGTCTGTGGCTCTCTTGATGCCATCCACGAGAGACTCACGGCAGCCATACAGGTTGTCAAATTTGCTCTGCAAGTGTGGAAAGGAAAATCTTCTTTTCTCAATATATCTTTGCTTGGCAATAAATCTTTGTGACAACACCGTGTAATTTCATCAGACTAGTCTGGGCCCAAGGCTCCTGCCCATGGCAAAATATGTGATCAACAGTAAGCAAATTCAAGCGATGACTATCTGACAATCACTGGTCAATTTTCCCTGATAACGGATGCAAAAAATTCATCCTGGGTACTAGGCAAAAATCTACCAATGGTTGACAAAAAGTCACCTTTCAAACTTGTCCTCATCCAAGGCATTTTGCATTATTACTTGTTCAGTTAATTGCAATATTTTCCGTATCTTGTAATCTGTTACTTTGAAAAAAAAAATTATTGTTTACCAGCCAAGTTCAATTTGACAAGCAACATGCTGAAAGTAATTACAAACATGCTAAGACTCCTTTTTCTGTAAGTCCCATATTTTAGTTCCCTATGCATGAATGCTTCCTCATACCTTTGTCACTGAATCGTTAACGTTGATAGCTGGTACTTTGAGTTTGCCTTCCTTCATCATCTTATACAGGTTATGGACACCAGTGGTGGTCTCCTCAGACAAGCCCTTGATATCTGTACAAACCAAAATGAAATGGAGTCCTCACTCTCTGGGTATTGGGACAAATAATTCAAAGGAGGACTGAGGTCAGTTAGATTGAAGCAAACCAGTAGTTGAAAGTCAAGACAAGAAGTGCCTAATTAGACAAGATTACATAATGGGCCATCTTACCAGTCTACACAGCTACTGGCAATGATTGGCTTGGTATTTGGTCATTCAGTAATTGATGGATTACATGTAAGGCAGACTAGAGATTGTTATGAACAAATTTTGCCAAGTAATCAGAGTTCACTCAGATGGCCCCCAGTAATGGCCAAGGCAAATATGCCAGCTACTGTAAGCACCAACTGCTCCTTACGGGGTTTACTGAGGGAATAAACATGTGCTTGGTCAGTCTTAAACGTGCGTTTAACACATGCTCAGGAGAATGGATACGGCGAGGGAAATATCAGCGTTCTTTCTCCTGAGCAAAGTCTCAACCGTTAGTTTAAGACTGGCCAAGCACATATTTATTCCCATTCATAAATACCTTTGATTCAGAGTCATAAGAAGTCACTATATGATGGATTTCCAACGATTTCAAAACTTTACTTTGATTTTCCTGAACACCCCCATCTATTTCATGGCATAGTCCTTTTGAAAGTTGTCCTACAGAATCCCCTTCTATGAACTTGGCATGTGCGTGGCGCATTCTGTGTGCTGCATCACACACAGACTCTTGACCAATAGCGGTGGAGAAAACTGTCTCATATCCAGTTGCCCGCACATGCTTTATGCAGTGGGTATCATCCTTTCTCAGCAGGCATTATCAAATGTTAATACATGGTCATCTTGCACGTTGTCGAATAGGGAGACAATCTGGGGTATTTATGAATAAACAATAGCATCACAGGTGCCTCCATTAACACTGAGTGTATGGTGACTCTGTATTCCAACAGAATTAATAAAAGTGGTTCCTTACTCTACAGCCACTCAGGGTAATAGACAAAAACCATCACTCAAATTGTAACTAGCTAACACACTGTGACTGAAGATTGACCAAATCATTATTGCTGTTTTGATACGATCACTTTATGCATCACTAAACGACACCTAAGCTGCTTTTAAACTGAGCACAGGAAGTAAATAATTTATAATCTTGATGGTCAGGGGTAATAACCCTGATGCATTAATAACTATCTCAAACTTTGAAGGTACCAGCATATATACATTGCATCACAATGCACAATGTTGGCCAACTCATTCTACTATCATTCTTATTGATTGATGCGGCTGATCCTACCATCAAAATGGACCTTACCATTTTGATGCACTCACAAGTGTACAACCTAGGCACCGTTATTTTGCACGGTGCTTTGTCTAACGGGTCACAGTGGACTCAGCTTCACGTTAGGTTTTTCATAAAGCTGAACAGGTTCCTCTATTAATTAACCGAGCAAAAACCGATTCTATTTCTATGCCAAAGTTTTGCCTTTAACCGGAAAAGAAAACTACCTCTGACCTATTTGCCTGAAATTTCAGGTATACAGGAAATGTTGATATGATTTTGGTGCCAATGTTATGTAAATATAGCATGAAATCGGACTATTGTAGAAGAACTTACGTCCCAAGAACGTATAAGCCCATCTGTACTGGTGTTGATAACCTTTTGTTTGATGTCAACAACTGTGATGTCCATTCCCAGCATAGACTTTCTACCAATAGTCTCAAGAACAACCTATACAAATCAATCCGGAACAGCAACGTCACTTGGTAGGTGATGGGTAATCTTACCAGCCAAGAACTGTGGGTATTTCTCGTGGACCAAGTTGGTCAGATCCCCACCATCGTCAAGGATCATGTTGAGTGGCTGCCCGTCAGGAAAGACCAGAGTTTGCTCAATACACCAGACGTATTCCTCGTCAGTCTCGCCCTTCCACGCATACACCGGAACACCGGATTTGGCCATAGCGGCGGCTGCATGGTCCTGGGTTGAGAAGATGTTACAGCTTGACCATTGTACCTAGGAGTGAGCAAAGGCAGACCGGTGAATTTAAGGCCACAAAAAGGCTTCATATTCAAGCATACATGTACAAATGAGTCCAACTCTTCAAAATGTTACTGACAGACAGGAATTAACTCGTCAGGGGTCATGAAACTTACACGAAAATGGGAAAATTTCAGACTGAGTTGAAGATGTGTAAATGATGTGATGCCTGCGAAGTGCTTCGAGGGGAGGGGGAGGAGACTAGGATGGGGCATGAATGTAAGGGGCTACTCTGAAACACCCTCTAAAATTGTTACAAGTCTTGCCGCTAACACCATAAACAAAAGATGAAACACGTCATGAACATTTTTTAACACAGAGATACTGTGGAAATTAAACTTCCACGAAAACAACATATTTCAAGCAATAAAACAAAACCCCAAAATATATGCTTTCCACGGAAAAAGGTTTTACGTCCACTCCATTTAAGCTGGCTCAATGTGACTACAAAATGCTGTTACACCGATGCTCCCCTTTAATCGACTGCATGCATAAATTCCATTTTCAAGTCAGAGTACCTCTGCTCCGAGCTCCTGCAGGGTCTCGATGAGCACGGCCGTCTGGATGGTCATGTGCAAGCAGCCAGCAATGCGAGCTCCTTTCAGCGGCTTGGTAGGTCCATATTTCCTTCTCATCTCCATCAATCCTGGCATCTCATGCTCGGCAAGGACAATCTCCTTACGACCGAAGCCTGCCAAGCTGATGTCAGCTGTGGGTTAGATAAGATAACATTAAGTTGGGAAGAAAGCTGTGACAAAGTAGACGCATCATTTCACAACTAGTCTGTCCAGTGGCATTAGGGTGGCATTTGACTTATATGCTAAATATTTATAAGCCCACACTTACGTTTAGATTATTCAACCCCAAAGGTAGCATCATTATGAATGCAGGTTGTACACTCACAAAAAAAGTAGCGTTCTTTTTAATAAATTGATTCTGATGCCGAGTGCTACAACCAGTGAATTTTATATATGGGGAAATCGATAATTTATTCACAAGAACTTGTGATCAACACTGCAAAATAAATAAAAAGTCACCATAGCTACTTCTAATAATAAAAAAAGCCTTATAAGATTATTTGCAAAATCTGTCCCTGTTCATGTTATATAGATTGGGCTTTGGTAACCACACATAAAAGAGGATAATCCTTTCAGAATTTTAATCCCAGGTGAACAAATCAAAATATTCTTGCAAAGTTCATTTATTTAAAGCTTCTGGAGATTTGCAGAGTTTCAAGCTCACTAACACACACTTTAGATGAGAATAGTACAATTAGGCAAAACTATTAATTTTTAGACTGACAGCGATCAGAACAACTGCATGAAAAGAACACAAACGATTCATGGACCAAGTCCCGAAGACAGGTTTTTTTCTCTGTAACATGTCTACAAACTAACCAGAAGAATACTGTTAACCAAAAGTGGGCAACACTGCCGAGCCCAGTATGAAAAAATTTGTTTAAAATGACACCTGAGGTTGTTTAGTACACGCATGGAGGTAGAATCACACGCGTTAAAGATGCGGATTTGGATACATGTTGTCCACGTGCGAATGCATCTCACGTACAGAGGGCGCTATACAAAATTTACAGTCGGGTTCTTCTCCCGGCCGGCAGTAGGAAAAACAACTCTATAGCTACGATTTACTGAACTAACTAGACCAATTTTTTGATGAGCCTCCAATAGTAAAAAGTAATTATTGTGATCTATATTTTTAAACTGACGCACCAACTTTGTACGGTAGCTTTCCGCCGTTGGCTGCCATTTTGCTCAGAAACTCAAAGTACCGAGAAGCCCCTTCCACGATCCGCACACAACGGTGACTAGTTATCAAAGAGGCATTACATTTGTGACCGAGCGGTTTTATCATGTACCAGCACATGACGTCACAAGTGTGGCTTTTGTTGGTCAAATTACTGAAAGCAAATTTACATGTTATATTAATACTCTGGAACTGACAGATTACAAGAAATTTGGTGCATGTTAAAATATGCCAAAGTATCTTAAGTATCATATTTTGATAAAACAAGTTGTAGTGATCTTCCAGCCATGGAGAATACAAGACAAAGTGATGAATTTAGGATAAATTAATATATTAAGTCATTAGCAGATGGCTCCTTGCATTTCATTGGAGCGATGACATATTATGCCTGAAATTGGCCAATCAGCATACACCTTACATCATTTCCGCACCTGACCATGTATTAATTATTTCTCGCTATCGAAGTCGAGTCATATGACATGTTTTACTTACTCGTCGAAACAGGTTGTGGCCGCATCGAACTGGTGGGAATTATTAGAGTGATTTAGACGCCAACATGACCACCGAAATCTCGTTTAATATCAACGATGGGTACTTGGAAGGCCTAGTGAGAGGATTCAAGGGAGGAATTTTGAAGCAGCCAGATTATCTCAATCTTGTTCAGTGCGAAATTTTAGAAGGTAAAATCTTCAGTTTTGTGATGTTGGCTGTCCATTTTCCGGACATAGTACAAAATTCGGTTTTTCTCATATATTTGTTATACATTACATTAAAGCGTTCAGCGATCCAGGTAGTCCCTAATTTTAAAATATATAAAGCGTCGTAATGATCAGCTACGTCATCGCACTTGCGCAGTTTCAGTGCCGTAACGACAGCTACTTCGTTAAAAAATTCACTAATCCCGCTTAGTTCTCCATATCCATTTGTACAGGAAATTTTGTTTCATTTATTGAAAAGCCTAAATATAATTTATTGTTAAAATAAATTATATCACATTTCCCGATCGAAATAAAGATTGCTCGCTCACCTTCCTGAATTATCCTATCCTTGCTGTTGTTTAACTCTTACTTTTTATTATTTTATTTTTAACTGAATTCATAAAATTTTCTTTGTGGTTCAATGTATTTTCCTCTACGATAGCTTTGAAAATCTATGTGCGCACCGTATGAAAGTGGAGGTGGAGTCTTTATTATTCCTAACCCCCTAGGGATCATTGAAATTCTGCATAACCGTGTTGCGTTCAGCATGGTTAGGGTTTTCGAGAAATAGCTTCTACGGTGGCCTTTAAAGCACTTTGTTTATGAGTATTAAAATAAAAAGAATGATTTTGTTTTCAGAGGAAACAAAATAGCCTCAGTTTGTGATACTGCTCCGTTTTTCCTGTAATTGACTCCATTTTTTTCAGTCTCCTTAAAGATGCCAAACGCTGAAGGAACGAGATGGGAACAGTTGCACTGCGTCACCTTACTCTTTTAATCCGGATTCAAAAGACATTTTTTTCATCAGAACTTGTGTATCTCAATCTTATGATGCAGCAACAACTTTAACATGATTCATCTTATTACTTAAAGTGGTGTTTTACCGAAGGAATGATAAATATGTGGGTATTGCAAATTTCATTTTCTAGGTGGACTCATTCTTTCATCGATGTCTGAAACAACTGTTAAAAATGTCATCATTCTCCGAGAGTATTAACCATCTCATTAGACCTGAGCTATTTTATTCAAAATTTATTTTACAAACTCTAAATATCCATTGTGAATTCTTCAGATTGTATTAGAAAAGCAAAAAAAATTGCGACAATAATGCCTACGCAATTATTCCCAAGCACGGAGGGTAAAAGTATGATTGATACAAGTCTATTGTAATGGAGATTGGGGGCGTGCTTTACGCGCGCAAGTAGTTTTTTAGTGCAGGAGCCCTTATTTTGACTCCGAAAAAAACTGGGTATTTTCACAGTTAACATGTGCCTTTAGACAGCTTTGGCCATTTCGAAATTGAAAAAAAAGGGCAGGGTGGCATTAGAAATAACTGTTAAAGAGACAGACGGTGGGTAATGACAGATCGGTCAAGGAGAAATTACAAATTTTGGAAAAATTACATCTTTTATTAAAACTTGTCAAAACTTACAAAAACATGCAGAATTTTTCTCTCTGTTTTAATAAAATAAACTTACCCTCGGGCCATAAATTATTGATTATCTGGGCGAATATTGCTGGGAACTCACTAGCAATGCAAAATTCAAAATTTCTGATACCGCGATAATAGAGTTACTGCGGTAATATAGGGACCGGGTATACATACACCCTAGGGGTTGTAATGTAATGTTAAAATTATCTGGGTTATCATGGTTATATTTTGATGGTGATTTGACATATTTGATAGACTTTGCGATGGATAATGGTGATCTAGGCCCCTAGGCCTATTTTGATTCATGTCTTCCCTGGAAGTAGGCTACACAGTCTTTTATTGGTCCCATATGTGCCAATCTATTTGTCTGTCTACTTTCTTATGGGTGATGCCCAGTTTTGATGTATTTTTGTATTTTTTTGTATCTTAACTTATACATGTGGGGATTGTATATTTGCCCCCCCCCGATTTGTCATTTTTAATCTAGTAAAACTGGTCAGCCCCCCCCATCAAAGGCAGCGCTCTATTTGCACTGACCCTTTTTTTTGGGGGGGGGAATTTTGAATTGTAAATTGTAAAGAAATGTGACTTTTTTTGCTGATAAACTAGCCATACAAATTTGAATCCACCGTGTGTCATGTGTTAAAACACTCACACCTTCCCCTGATGATTTCAAAACCCTGTCCTCTTTTCGCATCAACCCCACAGTTATTGAGCATGATGCCATAAAAGTTAATGAATCAAAAAGTTAAAATGTACACGAAGGTCTCCCTTCTATGGGACAGCACAGACATCCAGGATCCTCACAAAATGGCAGGTACCGCGCTGGTGAAAACACCTACCATGGTGACGTAAGCACACACCAGCCAGTCCGAAGATCGGGTTATACAATCTTTTCTTTGATGCGTACATTTTGTGCACACTCATAGCAGTTGTTTTCATCGGCACGGTGTGGTTGCTACTCACAATTTTGTGAAACTCTTGGAAGTCCGCACCAGCCTATAAATACGAATGGGGTCCCCAAATATACAATCTTCAGACATGTAGTGGTAATTATATCTGTTTTTGTTTTTTTGTTTATGTATTTATGTATTTTAAAATTTTATGAAAAGACAAGATGTGTGTAAACAGGTCTTTTT